CAGTGCAAGTGGATGATACAGGGTTTGGATGGGGCTTGTGGCAGAAGCATGGGTGCCGGAACGTACTGATAGGCTTCTGATTCCAGTTATGGAAAGGCACGGAAGCGCAGTATTCTCTGAGAAGCAACTGGCTGCCATATATGCATCCCTGTTGACCAGTGAGGCCATCACTGGCCGTGGAGGGGTGGCTGCAGTCTTAGGGAAGACTCCCTATATGAGAATTGAACAGACCCATAAGCTGTCTAAGCAGAGCTCCTGGTGGAGCCTGCTGAGATGAGAGACATACCGAGTCCCTATGTAGAGGGTTGGACTCCCATCCCTGAGGATGCCTGGTACACAGATGGCTTGTACCATAGAACAGGTAGTGAAATGATGAGGGCTACCGTTGATGAGGGCACAAGCACAAGTTGCTGTGCCACAATGCCCCTGATGTGCTGAGCAGCACCCAGAGACGGCAGGTAAAGAGAACCCCGGGGGTGATGCCCCATGGGGCTAAGCCACTCCAGGAATGACAAGTGGATTGTGGGCCCAAGGTATCACCCTCTGGGCCAGATCCTGCGCCAAAACCCTGTAGCGGGTGGAGTATGGGTCCTAGGTCTGGCTGTGATCCATGCTCAAGGCTAGGAATAGGACCCCAGATTTAAAATGTTACATTAGTGTAGTAGGGTGCCTGTGCCTAAAATATGTAAACATAATTCAGCTTATTGTAACATGCATGTGTGGCTGAATGTCACTACTGTACTCTTATATGTGTGGAGCCATGTGGTCCCCTGGAGAGCGGAAGGGGAGCAGAAGAAGAGCAGAAGCCCACTCCCCACAATAAACTGCACTTCCCGCAACAGAAGTGCGCTCCCCACAATAAAGCTGGTATCTGCCGTTTCATTCTCATGTCGGCCTCTTGTGCATTCTTCCAGCTGGGCACCTCCCTATCGAACATTCCCTTCTCAATCAGCTCAGCACTGACAAACCCCACCCTTGATTTTACTGCTAATTAAACTAGTCAATACAAGCAGGCAAAACTAACTTTGTTAGCTAATTATTTGAAACACAGACTATATTACTTTCTTTAATTTGCTTAGCTCTGCATTCTTTCATGTTGGTCTAAGAAAATGAACTCAGTCTAACTACTTAAAGAAAAGCCTCTTCTAGACCAATCATTTCCCCCTTCATTTCTCAAGTACTATTCTAAATTGGTCCAAAAGTACAGAGGAGAGAAAAAGAAGAAACCTGTAGTTCTCACCTTTGGCTTCATACTGCAATCACCAGGAGAGTGTCAAAAACTCCTGCCACCTAGGTCCACTGCCAAAGACTGTTTAATTGGAGAACGTGCAAGCCAGGGTAATGGGAGCCTTAAAAGTTCCTCTGGTAATTCTAACATGCAGACCCAGTTGAAAACCACAGCATAAACCAGAGGTCCACAAACTCATCTGCACATTGGAATCATCTGGGAATCTTAAACCTTCCAAACTCAAGGCCACAGAGCAGACCAATTAATCCACAATCTCTGGGGAGGAGCACAGGCATTAGGAGTTTTTGAAGCTCCCCAGGTGATTCCAATGTGCAAACAAGTGTGGGGACCACTGGCACATACAACCACAGTTAGAAATCAGAATTACCCAAAGAACTTTTAAAAACTGCATGGTCTGTGTGGTATCCCAAGCTAATTAAACTGCAATCTCGGGATGGGACTCAGACATCAGTATTTTTTTTAAGTGATTCCATTGTACAGTGTGGTTGGAGAAGCGCTGCTCTCGACTCAATGTAGAAAGCATTCACGAAAGCCCCTCGATCTAACAGAGAATGACTT